CCAATAACTGAAAAGGCATCAGAATTTTTAAAAATTTCCTTTACTATTCATATAAATGTATGGGCAACTAGAAAAATAAAGAAGACTATATAAATATAGAAGGTATGTATCACAGCTCAATTCAACTTTTTGCAATTTGGCTAAGTCTCTGAAACACATTTTGAACTTCAAGACATCTCCTCTCTTACCTCTCAATATTACAGATGAACAAACTTCAAATTATTTTCACCATGTTTTCAAAACTAAACATCAATGGTTTTACTTTTCAGTGTGGACTACTTTAATAAAGAAGAGACCACATCCAACATAACAGCATACAACATTCTGAAATAAGCAAAAACAGAAAAATCTACCCATTCTGCAAATTAAGCTATAACAGAATATATACACATAACTCAATATTCTATCTTCTTCATAGTCCAACTGGGCTCATTTCCTAAAACTTAGTTATTTTTTTTTCTGAGAAAAGAAAATGAAAGTGATTTTAAATACTATCGTTTTGAATGAAGTTTTACTACTTCGATAATTTTGTATTTTAATCTCTGATTTTCACTACCAAAATGGATCAAAAATATTCCTTTGATATCCAGGTAGCTATAAATAAATATCAATATCTTCTTTCTCCTCTCATACCTATAGTATCTGGGAGGTCTAGCAGTTCATTGTGCTGCAAGTCAAGGTTGGTTATCTGTGTGCAGTTTCCAATCTCCTTTGGAAGGTGTTCAAGTTGATTGTGAGCTACATCCAGCGTAATGAGGTTACATAATTCACCTGTAAATTAACCAACATAAAAATGTAATAAGTATTATTAAAGAATATATTAGATAATACTTCTAAGCAAGAGAGTAAATTTTATAATTTCTAAGCACAAATAACTGGAAACAATCTTATTAGATAAGCAACTTTTATTTGAAATGGTAAATTGCTTAGGGAACACACTTGCATTGTGAGAAGAAAAAGCTTCATTTTTCTATATCATAATTACATTTTGTTTCTGAAAAAGTCAATCACAAAATCTGAAACCATTATTTCAAAATGACATCTGATAAAATTAAAATGTTGTTTGTAAATGATTACCAACCTGTATTATATACTCTTTTTAATTTAAGTAACCAATTCAACCACAAATGTTTGTATATTCCAAAATTTAAAGAGCTAGTTTTTTTAACCAAATTCAAGACAATAATATCAGATACATCTTGAGTTCAATTTGAGGGTCATCGTCCACCTCAAAACATATGTGCTTTCAAATACACATACATTCTGATGTTATATAAATACATAATTTGAGATTTATAAATAAAAACTGCTTCTCAATAGCACTCTAAAAAGACAGAAAATAAGGTATATTTCTCTTTTCCATTCTGGTTGAAAGGGCTGTATTGGAAATTATTTAGCCTTTAAAAACCTTTTTATTTGTAACAAATATATTGGTCCTCTCATGATTTTTCTATTTTAAAGGCAGAGGTTGGAGTTACCAAAAAAGTAACATAAACAAACTGTATAGATCTCTATACAGTACAGTGGTTCCCTGAAAAATTAAACATAGAACTACCATATGATCCAGCAATTCTACTCTGAAAAATGGGTGTGGGGCACATTATTAAGCTACATATAAATACAGGCAATGAAAAAAATAGATAAATCTGTTTTCATCAAAATTAAACTTTTGTGCATCAAAGGATACTGTTAAGAGTGAAAAAAACCCATACGATAGGAGAAAATATTTTCAAATCACGTATCTGCTAAGGGATTAATATGCACAACATATAAAGAACTCCACAATAAAACAAGACCACCACAAAATACTCAAAGAAGCCAATTAAAAAATAGGAAAAAGACTTCAATAGACATTTCTCAAAAGATATACAAAAGTCTAACACACACATGAAAAGATGCTCAACATTAGTAATCATTAAGGAAATGCAAATCAAAACTTATATGAGTCAAATTCATTGAGACAGAAAGTAGAATAATAGTACCAGGTGCTGAGGAGAGGGGGGAATGAAGATTTATAGTTTAATAGGTACGAAGTTTCAGTAAAAGATGATGACAAAGTTCTGGTGATGGCTGCACAACAAAGTGAATGTACTTAATGCCACCAAACTCTACAAAAATGCCTAAGGATATATTTTATGTTATGTATATTTTGTAACAATAAGAAAAATTTGTGGGACATAAATAAGCCAGTGCTAAGTGGGAAGTTTATAGTACTAAATTTCTACATTGTAAAAGAAGTAGGATATCAAGTCAATAATCTAAGTCCTCATCTCAAGAAAATAGAAAAAGAAGATAAAAATAAGTCCAAGCAACCAGAAGGAAGATAATAAAAAAAATAAGAGTATAAATCAATAAAATTGAAAACAGTGAAGAAAAAAAAAATCAATGTAAATAAAAGTTGATATTTTAGAAAAAAATCAATAATACTGATAACCCTACAGGAAGATTTACAAAGACAAACAAGAGAGAAGACACATATAAATATTAGCAATGTAACAAAAGACTATAAATCCTACAGTCTTTAAAAAGATAAAAAGGAAATATTAGAAACTTCATAATTATAAATTACAAATACCCAAAGTTAGAAGATATAGAACAATTCTTTAAAAACCACAAGCTACCAAGATGAAACAGAAAATCTGAATAGTACTATAACCATTTGACTGTAATTTGTAATTAAAAAGCTTGATTTGTAATTAAAAAGCTTCTCAAAAAAGAAATCCCAGGCCGGGCGCAGTGG